GTTAGAGTAGGTGGACCGTAGCCAGAAGGCAGGTGCCTAGCTTCTTTCCCTTTGTCAACAGCATCCGGTCTCCAAAACAATACCAGCTTCCCACTTGTGTTCAAGGACGTATGATGCTTTTTTTATGCAGAACAATGGTGGTCTTTTCTTGCTTCAATTCAGGAAAAATTAAGGAAAAAAAAAAGAACACTGAAATTCAGATCTAAATGACTGAGAGCAGGACCATTACAAACGTGAAGTTTGACCAAGACGGTGAGGACCAGGAGAGGAATTGGGCAGTGGGGAGGAAGGGCAATGCTAAGGTTTCCACTTTTGTCAGCGCTTAGAGCTGGAGAACCATGGAACTGGGATGGATCCTGTTTGTCAGCATCTGTTCTGCGCCTTGCAGGTTTGGCAGCAGGCTTCCCAGAAGAGAGGTGTCACCTTTCTGTATTCTCACCTCCAATCTAGCACCACCGGGGCAGGATGGATGTGCGAGGTGCAGCCGGAGCCCTGTCATCCTGGCACCAGCTTCAAGCCTGTTGTTGCAGACGCAGCATGTCAGGGCCACAGGGACCTTGAAGGCTCTGCGTCCAGCTCATCTGAAAGATGTGCCAAAGGCCACAGGGTGGAGAGGTGTTCTGCTTTCTGGGTCTTTCCATTAAGTGCCTAAAATCCAAAAAGCTTTTAAGGTGTTCCAATGTACTTTCCATATGTGCTTTCCTTTTGAAAAAAAAAATTGCTTAGGGGCAGCTCTAATATATTGACAAAGATACAGAATACCCCATTTTCCTACCAAATGCCATTATTTTCCTACTCAGAATTAACAAAAGTGAAAATCTTGTCATGATTTCTCCAACTTCTTTGTACATGACTCTTCTACTTAAATGAAGGTGATCATACTGTCATCTTTTCTGAGGCACCCAGTTCGGTAAGGGGTTTGTAGAGTCACAAACATGTTTGGTATGCGAGCAGAGAAGGCTGGGTTCCCAGTAAGTAGGGAAGCATTTGTCAATTCAATATCAATTCTCTCCCATGATGCTGCATGACGGGGCTGCGCAAACATCACCCTTCCCTCGGAAGCGAAGGGCCTCCTCCAGGCACCAACGCTCTGTGCTGGTGTGTGTGGACCCCTACATTCCTGTGGGCACTCACACAACTGCCCCCTTTTCTCTGAACTCCTGTAGCAATTAGTCTGGATAATGCTTTTGTAGTTTCTAGATAATGACTTCACAATTACCTTGGGTCATTTGTTTGTTGCTATTTCTCACATTTTAAGTACATGGAACCTAATGGAGGGCTCTGTTGACTTAATGTCTTAGAAAAGTGACGTGTTTGGGCCGTGAATTCCCCACTGGAGACCTTCTGCCTCCAACATCCACTGCTCAAAGGTCAGCAGGCGCAGTGGCCTTCTCTCACTATCGGATCTCTCCTGGCTACTACCCACTGCTTCTGTCCATCAGATTTTCAAGCCCAGCTACAACGCCAAGGCAGAAAGTTTCTCATTCATCTTTGTTTCGCCCCACGGTTGGTGCGGAGTTAATTCCTTCAGAGTAGCAATTTGAACAAATCTATCAAATCCCTTACTCTCCTTTATGAAGTCAGAGCACATCAAACCACTAATGCTTTCTCAATTCTCATTGGTCCTCCTGCTTTGGAATCATTTCTGCATTGCTGGGAAATCAGTCCATTCAACCTGTATGACTTACATAACTGGGTGGGGCTAGTTTGTATCCTCTTGTGGAAGATTCCCTCTAAATCATCAGTAAAAGTTGCTACAATTATGGAAAGATAATCCTTCAGTTACCTGTTCTTACAGGACAATGAATTATTAGAAATGGGAAAACCTACTGGAAAAAAACATACGCTTAATTCTAAAATTCCACTGATTTTAAAATAATTTAGTTTTCCAAAAAACCCATGAAATTTAGAAATGAAATGTAAAACGCCTCTTGGAATTGAGATAACATGACTAATGAGCAAATAAAAATTAAGACATAGAACACCCTTCCTATGAAATTATCACATGAACCTTGTTTCATGAAGCTAGGTGATGCTATGTAAAACCACTCTAGGGCATACATGTGTCTCATCTATGTGACCAGGCAACTTCTACAAAGCACTCAGTGGAAAGCATTTGTCTTAAATTTCCAAAACCTGTTCCTAAACTTGTGCGCTCATGTGTGAGCATGAGTGTCAATTTGGTCCTGCTAGAAAATATCAATTCTCTATTTCTAGATCCAATGAGGCTGATACAGACCCCCATCACCTGAGACTCAGTGGCCCCTTAGGAGAACTGACACCCCACCAGTGAGGAAGCACTGAATGAGGCCGAATAAAATACTGAGGCAGAAGGGGAGAGGCCGTGCAAAGCGGCTCTCAGACTAACTGGCTAGAATGGCCCACATAATCCCTCTTCCTCCTCTAATTGATTTCATCTTTGCTTCTGGCACAATATGCTCCTTAGTTTTCAAGTGTTAATACTGGGGGAACTTTCTCCAGCTTCCTGAACTCCTTCATAAAAGGTCAGGTCTTCCAAGTCATAGCTTTCATCTTTTCCTGGAAAATGGCTTCCATTCTGACTGCTAGCTAAACTGAGTGTATTTAGGGAGGACTCCATCTTGCTGATCGTATTGACCTTAAAAAAATCGTTTGACCAAGCAATTGAGAAAAGGAGTTTCTGGTACTACATAGATGTAAGAAACAGGATCTGGGGAAGAAAAACATGATTGCCATTTATTCTTCAGATATTGGACCCAATCTTTTTTGATAAACATTAAAATTCTTAACACTCTTAGGCATTTTTAGCAAAATCTCAACCTATTTAATTTGTAAAGCACATCTGATTCTCAAATAGGATTTCAGCTCTGGGGTATCCATCGAACTTTCCAGCTTGACTGACTAAGATGTTCGGCTCTACCCCTTCTTTTCAGCTATATGACCTTACGCAAACATCGTACTTTTGTGGGCTTCAGGTTACTCCTCAGCAAAATGGGGATAGCCAAGTATCTAGCTCAAAATAATGTTCTGATTTATGCAAAGGACTTAGCATACAATAAGTAAACAATTAAATCACTGGCAATTAACAGCATATCGGACCCTCCCAAGGTACTGGAATGACACAAACATGGACACACACCCTCTGTCCAGATGAACAATTTTAAAGGAAATATGCCTGCCTTTCTTCCCACATTCTAATATTTTCAAGTACACATAAAACATTCAAGGGTTCAAGGTCCTAGCTCAGAACATGCACCTGTTGTTAAGTGGGAAATCAGGCTTCAAGAGACCTGTTTCTTGCCATGCTTCCCTGCTCTTCCTCCACCATACTCAGGCTGTGTCAAACAGCCTCACTGCCTTTACCGTGGGCTGAAACAATTGTTTAGTCTTGGAAGAATTCCTTCTGGCACACCTTAGAAACGTAAAACTTTGTTCACTTCTTAGAATCCTCATCCTAATGGACCATGATTGTTTTCCCTGGGTTCAGGCAGCATGGTACCTGCCACACCCATGTTGTTGTTGTTGTCATTGTTGCTTTTAGTATTTTGAAACAGAGAGTGCAGCATGAGTGTCCAAGTTGGAGAGGGGTAGACAAGAGAGGGAATTCCAAGCAGGCTCCATGCTGTCAGTATAAGGCTCATGAACTGTGACATCATGACCTGAGCTGAAATCGAGAGTCAGATGCGTAATCAATTGAGCTAACCAGGTGCCCCACCACAGTCCTGTTTTCTGACTGAATGTTTATGATACCGTTCTAAGCAAACCAAAAGGGCCTTTATTTATTATTTGTTTTGAGAAAGGGTGCAAGTGACCAAGGAGGAGGGGAGAGGGAGGGGAAGGGGAAGACAGAGAGAAAGAAGGGGGGCTCAAGCCCACCTGATGATACAGGACTCAAACTCACAAACAATGAGATCATGACATGAGCTGATGTCAGATGCTTAACACACTTGAGCCACTCAGGCACTCTGTGATGATGATTACTTTTTTATTTATTTGGAGGGAGGAGGGGCAGAGAAGAGAGAGAGAGAATCCAAGGCAGGCTCCATGCTATTTCTTGCACTGTGAGATCATGGTCTGAGTCAAAATCAAGACTCGGGATGTTTAACCAACTGAGCCACCTCCACTGTGATTATTTTCAAATATATACCTCAATTATCCTCTAACACTTCAGGGGTGTTTTAGAACAGGTATTTTTCTTTTTTGCCTAAAGCCTATCCATGTGCAGGTCTTCACTCTTCCCTGTGAGGGATGTGAAGTAAAGACCCTGATGGCATGTTAATGGAGCCTAGCAACTAGTGATTTTTTTTTTTAATCGCTTTAAATTATAATATTTTTATTTTATAAGTATTCACATTTTATAGAACTCACTTTTTATACTGCAGTCTTCCTTGTCTTAGCAAAGTCAGAAAAAGTGGCATAACTAAAAAATAAAATAAATTAAAAACAAAGACTAAACATAAAACCCACACACCTTATTTTTCTAAATAAGTTTCTGCCCGATACCCACTGTTGAAATGATAGCATTTTGTTTTGTGTGATACCATCCAAACATAGGGATGTAAACTTTGGATTCTAAAATGTGACTGAAAATAGCAAGACCTTTAAGATCACATGGACATTGTACAGAGACTAAAATAAAAAAGGGAAAGAAACAGAAGTCTGGCACTTAAGATTTTTCTCAGGACAACCCCTACCCTGACCCCCTTAACCAGCAGCAGAAGCATATATAGTGCCAAATGCCCACACATTTTACCTCAATCCTAGGAGAGAGGTTCTGTTAAACCATCTTCATTTTAGAGATAAGAAAACTGAAACAGAGAGAGTAAGTAATTTGCCCAAGGTCACATAAGAAATAAGAGGAAGAGGTGGGGGGTTAAAATAAAGGCAGTGTGGCTATAAGTGTTGTGGTCATAATCACACTGTACTCTACATACTAGGGTCAGTAAGATAGTGCATGAAATAAGTCCTCTACTCAAATAGTATGTATATGGTTCAGCTAGAAAAATTACAGACCAATCACCACCTGTCTGGAATCTTTATTACTTCAGAAATAAGCATTCTATGTAATTTGAGGTGGTCAGAATAGTTACTTCTGGATTACTGTAATAAATATTTGTCAAAAACACCAATCATTTCAATAATCATACACACTTATTTCATTCATTATGAACTTCCAAAAATAACTCTTCTGTATCAAAAAACTTACAAATACCACAATAGAGTCAACTTATCGTCCATGCAGGAGAGAAGGAAAACTCTGCTGGGGCAAACTCTAATGAAGCACTTTGCCCATCATAGTTTTGATTTATACAGTTGATGAAGAAAGACTAGCTATATGCCCTCCTGAATTTTTAGTGCTTAGTCTGAGAGGAATGCAAGAAACCAAGTCTTGGGGGGGAAACTGCTTTCATAATCTTATGCAAGCCACAAACAGGTTTTTCTGATAAAAGCTTTAAAGCCTGAAGAGGTCAAGAAAGGCAAGCATGTATTCTCTTAAACATTTCAATAAATACGCAAAAAAATTTTTAGCAATTAGGAATGCCATGTTTGTATATTTTAAAATCCAACAGTTCTCATGCTTTGAATGTTTTATCCTGAGAGGAGTTTTAAGGATATTTTGCTCTATAAGGTTTAAAGGTAATACTGAAACATATATAGCTACGTATCAGGAATTCTCCACATGATTAACATTCTGGACTGTCCTAACAATGTCAAACAATGAAAAGCCAAACACAACCACTTCTACATTGTAAAGATATCACTAAGAAAGAAAGAACATTGGGAGAATGAATCACCTATATCTTTGTTTATGCTCAATGCTTTTGATAAGTTCAACAGATGAATGTGAAAACAGTAATGGTTTGTTTGTTTCCAAAGAGCCAGACCCCACTCACTGGCTCACCACCAATGACAAAAGTGCTAAGTATTCAAAGAAAGACTGAAGGTGATCCTTTGCCTCTCTTTGGTCCCTTTACCAAACCTCTATGTCACTTACGACATTACTTGTTAATATTTCTGCATTTCAAAAAATATGCAGCAAAACAAAGTTTGCTAATTTTCACTTAAATAAATTTTAAAACAGAACAGTTAAATCCTCACAACACAAACCTTAGTTTTCACATTCATTAAAACTTTTTAGAATTACTCACACTTGAGAATTGGAAATGTGTGTGCTTAGTTGGAAGAGAGCAACTGAATTTATTCTTCAGAAGAAAAAGCAGACCTGAAACATCACATCACTGTAACATCTGAAACCTGCTGACAAGTCTTATCTTCTACACATCAATGAAAGCTGCTTGTACAAACTATTTAGTGGTCACCTGCCCCTATTAAACCAGCAAGATACCCAAGGTACTGGGGAGGTCAGAAGCTGAGTCACTTCACTTCTTCCTGTTGCCTCCAGTTGCTAGAATACTGGCAACTCGCATAAATATATTTAACGTATCCATGTAGATTCTCAGCATCCTGGAAAAGAAAATTACAGCCTATTACAGATGATGTAATTTTTTTTTTTTTTACAGATGATGTAATTCTAATAACAACCATAAAAGAACTATTTCTTAATCTAGAAAAGAAAAAGCAATACTACCTGATACTACCTGTCATAGGTACGGCATATGCAATGGAAATCAAAAAAAGAATATGCCAACTAAGGAAGGCTCAGACAACAGTCAAGATGTTCTTTGGAAGATTAATCTCTGAAATGCTAAAAGGCAGCTTTAAAAATCATCATTCTACCCTCTGGTCCTCTCTTATGAGTATCATATCTTGCAAAAACTCTCTGGGAGACCATGAAATAATTAAAACAAAACTAAAGTAACACCTTCACAAAAATGTGTTAGACACAAGTCTGGCATTTTCAAATATAGTATGCCCCCTCAAGGCAACCCCCCACCACCAACCAAAGAAAACTGTTACAAATCTGTGTTATAGAAGCATTTTTTTAAAAAACCACTAAATTTTAGTTTGAAAGAAACAAAAAACAAATTACTTTGAAAAATGTGATAGACAACATGAAACTTAACAAAGTTGTTTAAATAAAATAACCTACTTTGGTGGAGAGGCCAAGAAAAGGGAAAAAAAAGTGTTATTATAAAACAATTGCACCACAAAGCTAATTAACAAAAATAGGTAAATATTTGAACTTAAATGAATACCTAAGTATTAAACTTAGTTACGATATAATCAAATGTTCTGTGGATACATAGTTTACTAAAGAGATAAAATAGACTAAAGAGCAACAGAAACTGTAAAATTTGACAAACCCATTACTGTGGGTTCAATTCAAAAGATACCATTACTGTGGGTTCAATTCAAAAGATACGCTGACATCCTAATCCCTGTACTGTAAATGTGCCCTTACTTGGAAATAGGGTCTTTGCAAATGTAATCAAGAGAGGAGAGAAGATGAGGTTAATACTGGAATGGGGTGGGCTTCCACCCAAAATGACTGGTGTCCTATAAGAGGAGACAGATATTCAGGAAGAATGCCATGTGAAGACAGAGGGAGAGACTGCAGTGATGTATCTACAAGCCCAGGAATGCTGAGGATTGCTGGCCAAAACTGGAATCTAGAAGAGAGGATGGATGACTCTCTTAGAGCCCTCAGAAGGCATCAACCCTGATGACATCTTGATTTCAGACTTCTGGCCTGCAGAACTACAAGAGTGTAAATTTCTATGGTTTGAACCATTTGGTTTGTAATATTTGTTACAACAGCCCTAGAAAACTAGTACGACCATAAAACAGACCATACACAAATGTCCTATGTGACAAGGACAAGACACTGAAGACTACTTACGAATTGATGGGATCATATTTTTGGACTCCATACGGTGGCACTATTTCTGCACGCTTGATTACTTTCTGTGTATCATACAGAAGAAACATGCTGAAAAGAACTAGTCCACCATAAATTGCCACTGAGTACAGAGTGGCACCAGCCACAGTGGTGGGTGGAAGAAACATAGATCCTAGGAGGAAAAAAAGCAAAAAAGAACTCTTTTCTAACTCGATATATGATTGACATTTCTTTAAAAAAAAGTGTAGTGTCCTGCACAGATAGGAAAAGGACTGACTATATGCACTGAGTAATTTTATGCATATCCAGCTCCAAATCCATGATACTTATTCCTGTAATGGGTCACTGGCCCACATTACAGAAAAATTCTTTTTTTTTTTTTTTTAATGTTTTTTTTTTTATTTCTAGGAGAGAGAGAGAGACAGCGTGAACAGGGGAGGGTCAGAGAGAGAGGGAGAAACAGACTGAAAAAAAAACAAAAAACTAAGAAAAAAAAAAAAACAAAGCCCGAAGAGGGGCTCGAACCCACGAACCGCGAGATCATGACCTAAGCGAAAGTCGGATGCTTAACCGACCAAGCCACCCAGGAGCCCCGAAAAATTCTTGCATCAAGAGAAATTTTCATGTTCTCCAGACCAACTTTCCTATTTTAGGTACATTTTGTAAAACCAAAAATAATAGTTTACCATGATGCTAAATAAAAACATACCGTCTAAAAGTGTTTCTCTTTTTAAACTTTTAAAAGTAACTCTTGGGCCTGGGTGGCTCAGTTAGTTGAGCGTCTGACTTCGGCTCAGGTCATGACCTCGCAGTTGACGAGTTTGAGCTTTGTGTCGGTTGGGCTCTGTGCTGACAGCTCAGAGCCTGAAGCCTGCTTCAGATTGTGTGTCTCCCTCTCTCTTTGCCCCTCCCCCCACTCATGCTGTCTCAAAAATAAACAAACATTAAAAAAAATTTTTTTTAATATTTTTTTTTAATTTCTTTCTAGGAGAGAGAAAGACAGTGTGAGCAGGGAAGAGTCAGAGAGAGGGAGTCACAGACTCTGAAATAGGCTCCAGGCTCTGAGCTGGCAGTCAGCACAGAGCCCGACGCGGGGCTCGAACCCACGAACCGCGAGATCATGACCTAAGCGAAAGTTGGACGCTTAACCGACTAAGCCACTCAGGCGCCCCTAAAAATTTTTTTAAAAATAACTCTCAATAAGTTCCCTCCATTAGGATAGGACATCAATGGTTTTAGGATACCAAGAAGTCAAAGCACAGAGGCTCACCCAGTGATGATACAAAGACGACACCCAGGCCCACTCCCAGGGGCGCTCCCATGTTCAGAAACTTCTCACTAGGTGCGCACATGGCCACAGTGGAGAGGCCTCCCACGATGCCTGCCGTGTACCATGCAGCTCTGATGAGAAGAGGCCCCCCTAATATCGTCAATGGAGCCACCACTGCACCCATCACACCTGGAGAAAGAGCAAGTAGTTAAGTATTGACTAAATAATAACCGGAAAGAAAATGCCACTTCTAACACGCCATCTGAACATCATGTACCTTACTGTTAAACAACAGGACTACAATGTCTCTCCCTTAATTAGGCGATACTATCCCCAAATTCCACACCCCAAAACTGTGGCTGTCTAAATTCAAAATCACAACACTATGCCTAGTTAAACAGTCTCAACTCAAAACCACACACATAAATTTGGAGCTTTAATAACTTTATCAAATTCTATGTTGTTCATTATCTTTATGTGAGCCTACTGGTACTGTTCATAACAACATTCGTATATGAAAGAATTGAGACAAAAATGCTTAAAATGAGTAACTCAAGGTCAAACCTGCTGCTGCCAAAAGGGAATAAAGTAAAACGAGAGAACGCATACAATGACGCTAATCTTAAGATGCAGGAACTTCAAGGATAGACACTGCTGTTTCCTTGTGTAATAGGGAAGGTTATCTCAGTTTGTAAACAGTAATTTTAGTTGTCAGATATTTATAAACAAGTTCAGAAAAATTACAGTGAAAGGCACCAATAATTTAACCAGCAAAGGTGAACAGAACTCCTTAATTAAAAAAAATAAATCTCAGATAAGGCATTATTTCAGTGCTCAGTAGAACAAGTTACCCTCTTCTTACACAGTAAATGTGCAGAGTTTAACTCAGAAATTAAAATTTCAGCAGTGTGTTCCTTCTGTGAAAGTAACATTTCTAGATCAAGTAATTAGATATTATCCCATGATAATGAACAATTAAAAATATCTTTTGCTGTAAGAAAGATACTGAATAAAAATTCCTCTATGACATTTTTTTAGGATTCCCATAAGTTTTGCCACTAACAGCAAAATTTTTAGTAAAAAAAATAAATATATATAAAATATATATATATATATATTTTTTTTTGCAGAGCCGACAAAAAACCCTTATTCTCCATCATGCTCTCCACTTTACTTGCCCCAGGTAACTCCCTGTCCCAAAATTTGGATTAAGGCACAGGTGGAGGATGAAAAAGTGTCCTTCCTCTTCATTTCCCTATACTGGTGCCAGCTCTTTGCTCCAGGTTCTTTTGACCCCACTGGCCACCAACAGCCAGGAGCAGGAGGTAGAGCTGGTACCAGCAAGCAAGAATGAGGCTGTGCCTCCCTCACCATACTTTTACAGCACTCCCCTGTGGAACCTGATCCTGCCTGGAGTCCCCAGGGTCTAGCCTGGTGGTCCTGTTTTCCATGGCCTGGCTCTCCAGTGGTCTTCTCCTGTGTGGGCTGACCTGTCAACGACAGTTTCTCCGGTGGCCTCGATGGCCATTACACGCTTCTTTGGTTTTTCCATTCTGCATGGTTAGGTTCACTGGAGGTTCTATCTCTGGACCTTTTATCACTGGGGGTCTGGCCCCTGGTGGCTTAGTCTTCCAGAGATCCTGGCCACCATGCTGTGCCAAGGTCTCATCCTAGATGCCATGGTCCTCTGAGAGATCCAAGTCTCGTGGCCTAGCTCTTTGGCAAGGCTTGTGTGTTCTAGCCCTCTGGGAGACTTATCTTCAATATCTGGGTCCTCTGAGTGTGGGCACCTGATTCTTGGCCTTTTCAGAATAGTAGCCCCTAAGTTTCAGGCCTTTGGGGGTCTGGTCCTCCAGGACATTTTGTCAGCTCTAGGGAGGTCCCTCCAAAGGTCTGTTCCCCACCGTCTGGCTCTTTGGTGAGTCTCTTCTCTAAGGCCTGGTTATCTGATGGACAGCTGTGGTCCAGCCTTCCTGTAGCATTAGCAAAACTTTTACGTTTATTTGGAGATTTTTTCAATGATACTTTCTCATAAAAATTATAAAAAGTAATAGATGTCTGCTGCTTAAGGACATATCAATCACAAAACTAACAAAGACAGCTCAACATTATTAGTGTGAACAAAAACTAGCATTCACCGAACTGCTATAGCCACTATGGAAAAGAAGTATGGAGGTTCCTTAAAAAGTTAAAACTATAACTATCATGTGAATCAGCAATCCCACTTCTGGATTTATAACCAAAGGAAGTGAAATCAGGATCTCATGCAGATGTCTGTACTCGCATGTTCACTGCAGCATTACTTAGAATCCCCAAGATGCAAAAAAAACCATATTGTCCTTCAAAGGGTGAACAGATAAAGATGATGTGGTATACATACACAATGGAGTAGTATTCAGCTGTAAAAATGGTATCTTGCCATTTCTGACAACATGAATAGACCCTGAGAACATGATACTAAGTGAACTAAGAACAAATACCATATGGTCTCACTTCTATGTGCAATATAAAATAAAGTCAAACTCAGAGAAACAGGAGTGTAGAGTGGTGGTTACCAGGGGTAACAGGGTAGGGGAAAAGGGGTGATACTGGTCAAAGGGTACAAACTTCCAGTTGTAAGAAAAATTTGGGTACCTAATGTACAACATGAAAATTACAGCTATTACTCTATCACCTACCTGAATGCTGTTAAGAGACCAGATCTTAAATGTTCTCTCACCACAAAAAAGAAATGGTATATATGGGATGGAGGTGTTAACTTATGGTATGATGGTAATCATTATGCAATACATAAATGTATCAAATCAACCAGTTGTACATCTGAAAATTTACAGTTATGTGCCAATTATATCCTGATAAAGCTGGGGGGAAAACACAATTAGAATAATTTTCCAATGATCATTTCAGTAATCCCTGCCTAGTATCAATAGACTGGATTAAGACTGTATCCACACAGTGCTAAACATCTGGATGAAAAATGAAAATGGAATGCACTGGTATGTTAAAATTAGCCAAAAGCCAACTCTGATGTCCCTTTCATTCTGTGAGGGGTTGACTTTGGGTCATCCAAGCTTTCTTCAGGTCTCATCTCAATCATTCCAGTTTTATGAAAGAGTGGACATGGGGTGCCTGGGTGGCTCAGCTGATTAAATGTCGGACTTCAGCTCAGGTCAAGATTTCATAGTTCATGTGTTTGAGCCCCACATCAGGGTTTCTGTTATCAGCACTGAGTTCGTTCCAGATCCTTTCTCTCTCCCTCTCTCTCTAGCCCTCCCCTGCTCATGTGCTGTCAAAATAAATAAACTTAAAAAAAAAAAAAAAAGTAGATAGAGGGCTAGACTTGAAGAAATAAAACACTTTTTGGCATGTGGACCTCAAATAGCTTCAACTTCCTCATCCACAAAACAGAAATACTAATGCCTTCCTGCACAGCTTAAAATACATAAATATGTATCAAGTATAAAACAAAAATTGGCATTCATGTTGTGTAGGGAAGGTTTAACATGGAAGGCCTAAGGTTATCTTCATGTAGACTTGTATGCAGGGCTGATCCTTGGCTGATATTTAAGAATTTGGCACTTGAAGCATTCTCTGACAGGGTTAGACTACTTGTGCAAACAATGAGTTATGCTGAAAGTCTGTTTTCCTTCTGGAAATTTGTATTTTGGTAGTTGTTAGGAGGGTGCCTACATGATTAGCCCTTAATAAAGCCCATGGGCACCAAGTCTCTAATGTGCTTCCCTGGGCAGAAATACTGCACGTTACTGCACTTTACACATCCTTGCTGTGTCCCCTCAAAGGAAGGAGGGAGCACTGAAAACCTATGGATGGCTTTCTCCAGATTCTGTCATGTGTTCTTTTGTTGTCTTTAGCTCTGAGTACAACTTATGCTGAGTCCTATGACTCCTAAAAAAAATACTGAATAAATGGGTAGTCTTGGAGGCCCCCTCCAACACATAAAATACCTCATTCATGTAATTTATATACTACAATAATATCAGATTAAAAGTTTTTCTAAGCAACCCAGATAGAAAGCCCTTAATTTTAAGCTCAAATTGAAACTACATGACTATTTTAATTCAAAAAGTCATTAAGTATCTATCATTTACCAGAGATAAAAACACTGAATCTGTTTTCTCAAGGAACTCAAGTGTCTAAAATCGGAAACGTGTGCAAAACTCCATTCACTGGACAAGATACCACAATCCAGAGAATTATAAATGTAATGTAAATACTAAACTCAGAGGAGTTTTAATGAAAGGATACACACTTCATACTTCAAAAAACCCAAAAAGCTCTGTATACTATTGTGATATGCAGTTGTCCCAAAGCTGAGTAAGCCTTAAATATTTACAGATAGCACTCAAGAGACAATAAAGTTTATAGAAGTAGATGTATTATATTTTAGATAAAAATATTTTTAAAGCAGCTTATTAGTACTAGAAGATAATGGACTATCTCCCTCAATCACAAGGGATTTAACTTATAAAACTCCATAGAGATTATCAATGGTTGAATAACCTCAGACCTAATGGAAGAGAGTTGAAAACCAAAGCGAAGCTATGCTGTCTTATGTTTACCAAAATAAAAACAGCACATAAGAATACAAATGACATAGTTTGGACCAGAAATTTGTCATACTGGGTCCCAAAAATCCAATTTCCACTTACTAACCCATGTTAGAAACATTTCAGAGCCTGTTTCCATGGAAGTTTCAAGGAAATGCTCATAAAATTTGTCTTAAGTGAATAAAAAAATAAAAGCAGAACCAGATCCATTAAAGGAGAACGGACCGTTGCCAGAGGAGAGGCTGCAGGAAGGGCAAAATGGATGAAAGTGAGTGGGAGATACCGGCTTCCAGTTACCGAGTAAGTCACAGGAGTAAAAGGCACAGCAAGGGAATATAGTCAGTGACACTGTAATAGTGCTGAATGATGACAGATGGTAGCTACACTGTGGGGAGTATAGCATAATGTACAGAGAACTGGAATCATCATGTTGTACACCTGCAACTACTATAACATTGTTTAATGTCTATACTTAAAAAAACATATAGAAAAAATAAAATTTGCATTGGTTTGCAGTAGAGAACATGTATCTAAGAAGCACTTTAAAGACGATCTAGTTCATTCTTTAGTCAACCCAAAGATACGGAAAACACTTTATCTAAACTTTAAAATATCTGTGTCTCCATAATGGAGGGAGAGGTCAGAACATACCTAAAAGGATATGAAACCTGTCCTGCAATACCAGGGGGTGGACAGTCTTTGCCCTGTTCACAGTAACTCTGTGCTCAGACCTATCTAAATAATGACCCAGGGGCGCCTGGGTGGCTTAGTCGGTTAAGCGTCCGACTTTCGCTTAGGTCATGATCTCGCGGTTCGTGGGTTCGAGCCCCGCGTCGGGCTCTGTGCTGACTGCCAGCTCAGAGCCTGGAGCCTGTTTCAGTCTGTGACTCCCTCTCTCTCTGACCCTCCCCTGCTCACGCTGTCTCTCTCTCTCTCCTAGAAATAAATAAAAAACATTAAAAAAAATAAATAAATAAATAAATAAATAAATAATGACCCAGTTAACCGCATCAGAGACAAAGTGCATTTCCGAAGATCTTTTTTACTGTTTTCTTTCTTCCAATGCTCCATTACAAAATCCTGTATTCCTATTCTTTCTTGTGACTTACCTCGCCTTTCCTTCTCCAACCTCATTTTAAAATTTTTCTCAAGATACGCAAGAACAATTCTCAAGTAATATGTATCAGGTTTGAAACGCTTCCAGTATTAGACAAAATACATAAGGATATCTCTACATAGATTAGACTGTCACAGGAGGTCAAGCGTAATATTGGGGATTTCCATGATCTTAGTTATCTGAATCATAACTTTTCAAAGTAGAGATCTGGCAATAATATCACCAGTATTAAGTACAAAAAACTGTTAAGTATTTTCTAAACATGAGTCTTTATTAAATTATGCACAAGTCATTCACAATTATAAAGAACCACCAAAAAGATAGTGAAGGTTGTTTAATAAAAATTTAAAACTGGAACATACCAGAATGTAGTAACCAAGCAAGATGCTTTGGGCCTGGGCTCTGGTCATATGGTATTGATTGTACCAGCATTCCAGCTCCGATCATGGCTGCAAGGGTTGCACCAATTGTCTGAAATACACATATTAAGAAAAACCAATCCTTATATACAAGAACAAAGGAAAAACCCTTAAGTTCCAAGTTAAGCTAGTCCCTCCAATAAACTTTGTTTAAAAAGATTAAGGATAGGGGCACCTGGGTGGCTTAATCGGTTAAGCATCCAACTTCAGCTCACGTCATAATCTCAGTTTGTGGATTTGAGCCCCATGTAGGGCTCTGTGCTGACAGCTCAGAGCCTGGAGCTTGCTTCAGATTCTGTGTCTCCCTCTCTCTCTGCTCTCCCCCACTTGCACTGTCACTCTCAAAAATAAATGAACATTAAAAAATTAAAAAAAAAAAAAAAAAAGTTTAAGGATAATGAACCGATCCTAGGAGGAGACAAGAGTGCCCCCTACTGTCACACAAAGTTTTGCAGATACCTCCAAGTGAGTACACTGAGCTTTGATTGATACCATCATCTTTTAGAACTTTTATTCTTCCTAGACAGAGGCCTAACAAAACCTATTTATGAATCCTTTAGAAAGTACAGTGAAAACATCACAGATTTGGAAATCTGTATGATATGAACTGTCCCATCCCCAGTTCCCTTCCAGTCTCAAACTCATAGCTCACATTCTCATAATCCTTTATTTCAGAACTTTAAAAGCCCAGCTGGTATGCTTGCTTCTTGTCTCTTCCATTTGAGTTCTTAGAACTCATATTTTCTGCTGTTCCAGTACCTGAAATTGCCTCTGACTGCTCATGCATTTTCCTCATGTAGCAACCAAAACCTGTCTGATTGTGTCTTCTTCACATCTAGACCTCAAATACTTGAAGTCCACTCTGATGTTTTCTTTTTAACGTTTGAGAGAGAGAGAGAGAGAGAGCGAGTGAGCACGAGCACTCTGGTACTATTGTGAAGCCGGTTTTAATGACTACCTTTTTCCTTTTGCTCAAGCTGTTCTGTAAACCTAGACTACCTTTGTTCTCTCCTAAATAAAAAATGGTAGCCTCCAACAGTTCTGATGAAATCAATGTGTCTTTCATGGAACTTCCCTACTAGTCCAAGACAAAAACAGTCTTTCAACTGATTTTACACTTTGTCTACTTTTCCTTGCACATCCTTTACCACTTACTCAAGATCATCTCTTCAACCAGACATTAGAAAAATAGCTACCACTTTTGAAATGATTTTTTCTTTTTTTGTATCCAGCAAAACAAGTGCTCAAGAAACACTCACTGAATGTTGTGTAAAACCCAACAGAGGGTCAGAAAAGTTCAAAATGTTAGCGATAAATATTTTCTGACTTTTAAGATGGCTTTGCATTTGACCCATCTTTTTTTCTTTTTTCAACAAAATACAAGCTGTTTGATATCTGCCGCTAGGTAAGTAGGATATTCCTGTATGTTTGGTTTTCAATCCCTTTGCCAGAATTTAAATACATACTCAAAAAAGAATGATAGCTGATTTACCTCAGAATGTACTTCCTACTTTGTCTCAGCTGCACTATTAATTCACAGATTTGAACAACTTGTCAATATAGTAAGGGATTCTTTCCATTTAATCCACCCCACTCCATCAACATTTTTTGCCTAATCTTTTGGTATTTAGTGGAAATGGAAAACAAAAATAAGTTGACTTACCACCCAAGAGCCTCTCATCATGAAGTTCATGAGCACAGGAGTTCTGCTCAGTGCCAGGGCGGATAAAGCTGTTAAACCAATACTTCCTGCTAAGTACATATAGGTAGAATGAATTCTATCTTTCACATACTGAGGCCAAATTCTGTAAGAAACACAACATGGTTTTATTTATAGAAACATGGATATAAATTTTGGTTCAATCACTTATTTGCTGGGACACTTTAGGAAATATCAATTTACTGCTCTAATCTTTTTTTTAATAGTTTATTGTCAAGTTGGTTTCCATAACACCCAGTGCTCATCCCCACAAGTGCCCTCCTCCATGCCCATCACCCTCCTTCCCCTCCCCCTACCCCATCAGTCCTCAGTTTGTACTCAGCATTCAAGAGTCTCTCATGGTTTGCCTCCCTCCCTCTCCCCCACTATTCCCCCCACCCCCTACAGTCCTCCGTTAAGTTCCTAATCTTCCTATATGTGCAAACATATGGATCTGTCCTTCTCTGCCTTATTTCACTCAGCATTAACACCCTCAAGTTCCATCCATGTTGCTACACATGGCCAGATTTCATTCTTTCTCATTGCCATATAGTATTCCATCGTATAGATAAACCACATCTTTTTGATCCATTCGTCTGTTGATGGACACTTAGGCTGTTTCCATGTTGTGACTATTGTTGAGTGCTGCAATGAACATTGGGGTACATGTGCCCCCTGCATCAGCACTCCTGTATCCCATGGGTAAACTCCTAGCAGTGCTATTGCTGGGTCATAGGGGAGTTCTATTGTTAATTTTTTGAGGAACCTCCACACTGTTTTCCAGAGGGGCTGCACCAGTTTACATTCCCACCAACAGTGTAGGAGGGTGCCCGTTTCTCCACATCCTCACCAGCCTCTAGAGTCCTCTGATTTGCTCATTTTAGCCACTCTGACCAGCGTGAGGTGGTACCTCAGTGTGATTTTGATGTGTATTTTCCTGATGAGGAAGGATGCTGAGCATCCTTTCATGTGTCTGTTTGCCATCTGGATGTCCTCTTTGGAGAAGGGTCTGTTTGTATCTTCTGCCCATTTCTTTACTGGGTTGTTCGTTTTTCGGGTGTGGAGTTTGGTGAGTTCCTTATAGATTTTGGATACTAGCCCTTTATCTGATATGTCATTTGCAACTATCTTTTCCCATTCCATCGGTTGCCTGTTTTATGGATTGTTGCCTTTGCTGTGCAGAATTTACTGCTCTAATCTTATTCACTTCATTTATCATGGAAATAATGATGCATAAATTAGAGCTATCATGAAAATTAAGTGATATAAAACATAAGAACTTTGGGGCCCGGGTGGCTCAGACTTTTGATTTTGGCTAAGGTCACGATTCGTGAGATGGAGCCCCACTTCGGCCTCTGTGCTGGAATTCTCTCTCCCTCTCTTTCAGACCTTTCCCAACTTGGACTCTCATCATCTCTCAAAATAAATAGCTTAAGAAACATAAAACATAAGCACTTGGCACACAAAGAAACACAAAATCTCCTTGCCTAAACACACATAACCTTGGCAAAAGATTTTGACTGAAGTCTGAACAGATCCCAAAAGATTTTATTTTTATTCATTTCATTCACAGTTGGAAGATCAGATATAAAACATTCCAAAAGTGGCAAAAGAGAAGGATGAAAACCAAATTGGAACCTCTAAGATTAGAATGTTTGGGAACAATTTACTTACACAGCCTTTTCAATAGCTCCAATCTCATTAGACATTCCCAAGCCATAGTAGCACAACGCTCCAAGACCAACAGCAGCCCCTCCAGCAATAAACCATCTTCCCATCTGATCAACTGCAGAGCACAGAAGGTACTGCACATTAATAGTCATATCTTGACTAAATTAAACTGTGGGATTGTAAGCCCTTTCTAATATTTATAGGAGGAAAATCAAACTATATACCATACTCCTTTGTAACAACCATAATTAGAACATATGGAGGCATAGAAATGGCCTTAAAATTAGGGGACCAGTGAAAAAGGACAATGCTAAAACCTACATGTAATAATACAAAAAGATCAGATTGACTGGCCTTTAATTTCACTCCAATGAACTTTAAGGAGGCAGTATACCTGTGGATATGGGAATACTTCTGTAATGCATAGTATTTTACTCATAAGAATCTGGGGTATGTTCTCAAGATATTCTTAGAAAGATGAAAAAGAAACGTTAAGAGGCCTGGGTGGCTCAGTCGGTTGAGCGTCCGACTTTGGCTCAGGTCATGATCTCACAGTTTGTGGGTTCGAGCCCTGAGTCGGGCTCTGTGCTGACAGCTAGCTCAGAGCCTGGAGCCTGCTTCAGATTCTGTGTCTCCCTCTTTCCCTGGCCCTCCTCTGCTCACGCTGTCTCAGAAATAAATTTTTTAAAAATTAAAAAAAAAAAATGTTAATAGTCATACCACACTGTGTCTAAAGTGCTATTCACAAGGATGATGTGTAACAGAGAAAGAAAAAGGAACCAAAAAATGTAATCAGTGTTTATGCAGCAGAATCAAGGGAGAGGGTGCTCTAAAGTAAGAGCAAGAGAAATAAACAGCTTATCATAATTGGCTGAAGGTACTCATAAAGAGCATCTCACCGCCTTAAGTATAAATTCATTAAGAATATTTTTACTATGCTGTAGCTGTAGGATTCATATAATTTGATTTTCATGACAAACTTACTCATCAGAAAGAAATGCCCTAAAGACACTGATTACAGCTCTTTCCCATTATAATATATTGACATTTTGTAAAGTTGTTAATAAGCAAGAATATTCTTTGACTATATGTCGGTAGATTAACAATGTGGTTAAACTTGCAAAGCTGAAATCCAAACTGACTGTTAGGTTTGGTTTCTAGGGAGGCCATATATGAATAATCAATTAAGAGGACTCTTCTTGAACATCTAGGCTTTTATTAGTATCTGGTTTAGTGATTTTCTCGACTTGAAACATACACAAATATAATATACTTGAATGAAGATTCTATGCAACTTCAAATGAACTTCCTTAACAGATTATATATTTTTGTACCATAGCATATTAACTATCAATCCTTTTTAAAAAATGTTTAAGGTAACATTTTCTCTAGAAGAAATATGAATAGAAACCAATGGACTCAGTGTGAAATATTAATCTTTTTTGGGTCATAAGATCCTGAACAATAACTGATTGCCTTTCTTCCCAGAAAATGCTCATACACATAAATCTGTATATATGTTTAAGAGGCTGTTCGTGGACTTAAAAATGTATTCTCATACTCCAGTTCAAAAACTAGACTACTGCCTACTTTTGAATATTTTTTCCATTGATGGTTCCAGTGCTGCCTCCTTAAGTTCTTGGCCAGTTTTCCCACGCCGGATCCCAACTCTGGTCTTGGTGGCATATTCCTGATATACACGAAAAAAAGACACACAGTAGAAACACACCAAAACAGAATGTTACCAAATAAAATAAAATGAAATCTCACTGCATTAGAAAATTCCATACTAATTTGGTACTTTCTATGTATGTACTTTCAGTATAAAGGTATGTTAGCCAATCTATAAAATTAAATGCAATAGACCCTACCTGTGGTCTATCTTTGAAGCAATCCATGTCTTAGTTTACAACTTTAGTTTTAAAGTTTCAGAATAATTGTTTATTTCATAAACTACAGATATGTATCTCTAGAATTATATTTCAAGCACTAACTTTAAAAAAATTTGCATTCAATATGTATTAGCTGCATTTTTTAAAATCTGGGGAATGAGGCTCAAGAAAGTTACCTTTGCTGAACACAAAACCAAAGGGAGGGATGACTGCTACCTCTATTTTAGCTCTTTTCAACAGGGACAGTTAAGAGGAAAACAGCTGTCTCTTTTAGGTTGTATATGTTTCCTTATCTACCTCACATTTCAAAATATATACTTCTAATTTGAATGATGAAGGATAAATCTATTATAAAAGGACTCTAACCTAAAGGATTTTACCACTCTCTAATCAAAAGCTGAAATGACATTTTTAGTAACATTTTTAGCTACTACTGGCCAACTAGTAATACTCCTGGGCTCTTCAGCTTTTAACTACAGCCTCCACAATCTCTTGTGCCATAGAGCTTTCAATCTTTCACAAATCACTCTAAATTCTCTAAATGAAACTTCAAAAGCTGTAAGAGAAAATTCTAAGAGGTCTTTCACACATGGTAAGGAGTAACAAAACGGTACAAAACTAATGGGGAGAAAGAGTTGATTTGGGGCATTATCAGGGCTAACTGTTTCAGTGCATCACTAATGGTAGATGAACTTCATACTGTCAAAAAAAAAAAAAAAAAAGGTCCTAGGGCACAAAGAGATACAACATAAAAGCATTCAGATTATCTTTACCCTGCTGGGTGTTAAGAGCCATTGATGCTTCGCGATGGAATTCTTCACAACAGGGGAGGCCTTGGTGAAAGCTGGTTGGAAAACTCTGGAAGGTAGTGTCCGGAGACACACAAGTCGTGCGGCCAGCATGGTGGTGCACCAGGTTTACCAAGCAGATTGGAAATGCTAGTTAGACACAGACAAAAGAGAACCCATTAGCTAAGTGAGGGAATAACATAGAAGTACTGAAATATGAAAGGGCCAATCATATTTTAGGAGAAAAATGGAATCATGACCGCTTTAAATGGTAATGATGAATTCTCTGCGTATTCTTTGTTATTTCAAGAAATCTATCCCAGAGAATCCGGTATGGGATGGATCACCAAAAGAGAATTAAATCCCAGTTTGAATAGGGTGTAAGACTGTATAAGTTATGTATCTAACGCAAAGTGAATGTTAATTTCTTAACACGATTACAGGATGTGTGATGGCTTTTATGGATGTGGTTTTAAGATTTATACCAGCATTCAATGGGAAAATTTATAGCAAAGCTGTACAAGTTCTGAGCAAAAGAAAAATGTCATCCAAGGAAGAGATGAATTAACTCTTCAAGGTTATACTGCACTGTAAGGCATCAAGACGTCAACAGTAATGACTCATAAATTTTTGGTGAACACGCCAAACATTACTTCAAAATGTGATAAAAATATTCAAGGTACTGAAACCACCTGGGATGTATCTTAAAACGTAGATCCTGGGTCTTAACTCTGGTCCTAATACTCAATCTCCAAGAATGGGACCCAGCTTTGCCACTGAATCTGTAAGGGGGTGTGCAACACCGGGAAAATACCGAGTCCTTCTAGTACTTTCACGTCGTTACATCATCTCAGTATGTTGTTGCTGTTTCCCTCAGTCATCGGCACAGGGTCTGGGAAAGAGTCCCAGCCGAGTGGCCACCACGTCGCGTCACAGAACAACGTTAAAATCCTGCTTCTGCCACAAGCTAGAAACGGCCTCAAAACAGTTTGCCCTGAGAGACTCCTGTGACTTAACTATAGATAAGGTATCACCGACCCAACCCTAAACGCTTCCGTAAGTGTTGATGCCCTCGAGCGCCTGGTCCCGAGAAAGTTCACCCAAGCTCTCTAGACGAAATTCGGTTTGGAACTCGGCAGCAAGCCTGCAGTCTCCCAGAGTCAACGCACAACCCTTAAAGCGCCCCCTTATCTGAGAGAGCGGTGTCCGTGCGGCTCGGCCGCAGGGTGATTCAGCACCGCGCGGCCCAGGCAGCAGAGGCCAGCGGGGGCGAGGCCCTGCAGCCGTCAGCCCCGTTCACCCACAGAACGGGGACTCCAACGCGCCGCCAGGCTGTGACGCAGCCAGCGCCGCCGACGCCGCCTTCAGCTCTCCTCGGATGCACCCAGACGCCCCGCCAGGCTGGCCGTCATTACAGTGGATCTGCGCTGCCACAGTTGGCCCGGAGTAGCCATACCTCAGTCCCCGGTCACCTCAACCGCGCAGTTACCCTTCCGGGCCGGCGAAACGCAAACGCGCACACCTCCCTCGCCTCTCGCCCGCTCCTTACTGTCTGTGCGCGCGCACTCTCCCCTACTTCCTGCGTGACGCAACATCCGGAGACGCGCCAAACACTAGGGGCACCCAATCACGAGCGGATCCCTGACGGAAGGGCGGGCACGGTACGGAGGAGGGGTTCCGAGCTAGAGGGGCGGGGCCAGTAGAGAATTGTTGGGGGCGTCACAGTCAGCGTCCATTTTGGGTGTGGGCAGCGAAGTCGTTTTGCTTGTTAGCTGTGGACGGCGGAGCTAGTCTTCTTATTTGTCTCAACACTTTCCTTAGTGATAGTTACAAAAGTTACGTAAAAATTGAAAAAGAATTGTGTGAGAATTAAAAATTGTTCCGTCGCCCCTTTCTTTCCTCATGTCGCTTTTCTTTCGCCTTCTCAAGAATGTGTCTCGAGATGAATACCGTACCAAACGTGGTAGTTACAAAGGGGAGCAAATCGGTTTCTTGGATCTGACACCTAAAATTGGCTCCTGAATCTAGGAGAGGGTATAAATCATCCAAGGTCACCGGGCTAGATTTCCGCAGGTTTTTTTCCTACCTCTGCTCTGTGACCTCCCCACGGCACATTTTCAAGCGCAGTGTATACCTACGTGTAGAACAGGGCTAATAATAGCCTCCATCTCTTACCTTGTCCTGAGGACTGTTAAACTGTGTTCATTACTCGTAATTTGTGAAGTGAAAAGCCATTTCTCCGCTACACGACAGAGGTTTTGTTTTTCTTTCACTTCCTTTTATCCATTACACAAATATTTGCTGAGGCTCACTTTGTACCAAGCACTGAACAAGGGATATTTACAAATGAGCAAAACACAACTAATACTGTTATTTGGGCAAAACAAAGTCCTTGCCCTTAAGGCATTTACTTCCTGGTGGCGACAAAAAAATAGAGAAAATGTTTGGTGGTAGGTACTATGGAGAAAAATGAAGCCTTGGAGGGGTGCTATTTTAGGTAAAAATGATTAACAACGTGTAAAATTCATGAGCCTTATATTCTAAGCCATTGTTAATTGTGATTTATGATAATCCACTAACCATGTGAATCTTGACAAACAAAGGTTTACATTTTATGTGGTTAATAAAATGGTTTGGCAGCACACAATTTTTCTTCACTCTGGAAATGGCAGGAAAATACTGTAGAGAAATCTGTCACGATAGTGAACGGGTCAAGCAAGATCAATTTAATCTTTAGATCTTCACCCAATTTGATTAGCTAGCAAATGGATTCTTTGTTTAGCTCCCTTAGTACGTATTTTTTCTCCCAACAAGCTTCTGTTATCAGCAAAGGGAAAGGATTCATAGCACGGTACCTGAATAAACAACATGCCTTTTTAAGTGATTTATAAGATTCTTATTAATGAAAGCTTGTGATCTGCGAAGGAAATAAATTTCTGATTGCATATTCTGTCCACTATGGGACTTGCATTGTTTCCAGAGGTGTCAAATGTTTTGAAAAAAGAGAGTTAATTGGTCACATCATTGGAAAGATATGCTCAGTGTAGGGTAGGGAGAGATTTCATTGACTGGAAACTAATTAGGAATTTATTGCAATTCTTTAAGCAAAAGGTGTTGAAGGCTGGGATTAAGATAGTAGAGGGACAGAGAAGGGGTTTATGACAGAGATATATGACTAAGGAGGAATTTACAGGATTTAATGACAGATTGAATATAGCTGATAAAGATGAGGGAGGCACCCAGGTTAATGCCAGTGTTCTGAATTGAGTGAAACTGGGTGGATAATTACACCATTAATTTAGAGGTAGGATACAGAAAGAGTTACAGATGTGGAGGAAGTAGGTAAATAAAAGTCAGTATTGAGACAGGGAAACTGAAGGACTCCATGAAAGTCTGTTTTTTGCTCCTTCCCCTGCTTCTGGTCTTGCTAGAACCTGCACCCTTACCTCACATGCCTCATAATGTCCTTCTTGTAAGGGACAAAGAGTTAATAATTTCTTTAGAATAGATAATATCTAAGGAAGGATCAGGTCAGAGTGAATGGAAAAAGCACATTCCAAACCACTGGCACTAGACACCTAGATGCCAAGGCCCCCTGGCTCCAAGGAATAAATCTTGGGCCTTTTTCTTTGTTCTAACCAGTTCCTGGATGCCTGAGGGGACATGTATGCCAGACCATCATCCTCAGTGAAAACTCCAAGACCTGGAACAAAGACGAGACTCATGTTCCTTTCCTTTCGGAGTCTCTTAGACACTCCATCTATATCTGCTCTCTATATCTTCCCTAAACACTGCTCTCACTTCCTGCTGGCTCACATTTTATTTCCATCCTATACAAAGCCAAGGATCCTCTTGGCTGGTTCTGCAGGACCCCCTCTCCCTCTGGGTCCCTGGACCTGACCTGCTGGCATCAGTATGAAGTGTTAAATTGTAAGTGCTCTGCTTCTAAGGCCTTGGAGCATAGGACAGAAAAACAAAAAGACATGAATCATGACTCCTAATGCTGTATGTCCACCACAATGTTTATTAAAGGCTGATGACTGGTTCTTTATCTGCCTGCTCACTAAGTGAAAAGTGCTGGGTTATAGATGAGCGAAATCAGCGCCAAGGACTAAAGAACATTATTTTATTTCTGTTTAGTTAAAATAAATTCCCCTGCCTTGCCTCACTAAACTTTTCCATCAGAAGATATGGGATTGATGGGGCGCCTGGGTGGCTTAGTCGGTTAAGCGTCCGACTTTCGCTTAGGTCATGATCTCGCGGTTCGTGTTCGAGCCCCGCGTCGGGCTCTGTGCTGACTGCCAGCTCAGAGCCTGGAGCCTGTTTCAGTCTGTGACTCCCTCTCTCTCTGACCCTCCCCTGCTCACGCTGTCTCTCTCTCTCTCTCTCTCTCTCTCTCTCTCCTGGAAATAAATAAAACATTTAAAAAATTAAAAAAAAAAAGAAGATATGGGATTGATGAAACAGAGTTGAAAAGGGAGTTTGGGAGGGCTTTACCGCTGTTCTCCTCAATGGGGTCTTATGTGCTCACTGTGTCTCCCAAAAAAGGGAAGGTGCTCCTTCCTGAAAGGTTGGAGATGTTTGTGAACATGGGGGACCAGCTGTTAGCTGGTATTTATTAAGTGGCATAAAATAAAGCAAATGGGAAGGAGTCAATATCTTCCCCTCCTTGTTTTTCCTTGCATTTAAAATTTGCTGTGTCGGAGATTCCTAGAACCTCTGAGACCTGGAAAAACCTAAGAATATAGTTGTGAGTGTCAGCCAGCTCAATTGCACCCTTCAAGACATTGCCCAGTAGTGAGGGAGTCACCAGAAATATGCATGGGTAAGACACTCAAATGGACACCAACAGGCCATGATGTGTGCTAAACAGCAGAGCCAGGATCTGACTCCTGGGTGAGAGACCAAACAGTGCCAACCTCAACTGAAGAAGAATGAAGTTATTGTCAAGAAGGAACTGCGTCCTCCTCTGGGTCCTGCTGAAGGCACTACCTGGGACCTGGGACATTGACCAGAAAGTAGAGTGGAGGAAGAGAAAGCAGGCCACACTTGTTTCCTCTTGTTTTATGTAATGTTTCTAAGCCGGGGTAGGGGTGGGGGGGCACAGAAGAGGACACAGGGCTTTGAACCACAAGGCAACTGATTGTGAGAAGTCTTAAATATGACTGATAGATTGTCAGACTGTCCTGAGCTTGCCAGAATGGAATAAATGAAGCTATCCACTTTAGGCTGACTGGGGGCTCAAAAGCAATATTGATAACAGATTAAGGAAAAAATGTAGTTCATTTTTGTACTTATTTTACGAGGAATTTTTCAATGTAAACCCCTCACAGAGATGCAACCAAATGTTATATGTGAATGCCAAAAGAGCAAGTTCGTTAATGCATAGTATCTGGTAAAGGGCGGAACATTGGAGGAGTCTTGAGAATAATCTCACACTTTCTGGTCAGGTTGCAAAAAAGGCACTAAGACTCAAATGACAATGGTTTAAGAAAACGTAACAAGGTAATGGTAGATCTGGGTCTAGAACAAGCATTCTCAGTGGGGAGACATGTCACAGAATCCAAGGGCAGGAAGTATTGCTGTGTCACAGTGACTCAAGTCAAACATTGGAAAGTCATTAAACATGTAAACTGGAGGTTCCCATAACCTCCTCCTCAGGTTTGATTAATCTGCTAGGGTGGCTTATGGAACTCAGGAGAACAGTGTAATTACTGTATTACTGTCTCATTGTAAAAGGATATAACTCAGGAACAGCTAGACCGAAGAGATGCATAAGGGAAGGAATGAGAGAAGGGGCATGGAATTTCCATGCTTTCTCTGGGTGTGCTTCCCTTTTGGCACGTCCACGTGTTCACCAACTGAGAAGCTCCCTAAACTCTGCCCTTTTGGGTTTTTATGGAGGCTTCATTACATAAGCATGGTTGATTAAATCATTGGACATAGATGATAGATTCAACCTCTGGCCCCTGTACCCTCCGCTGGAGGACAGGGGTGGGAGGCTTAGGCTGAAAATTTTAACCCTTTGTTAAAACCCACATGGTTGGTTCTCCTGGCAACCAGCGCCCAGGCTTAGTTATCTAGGGGCTTTCTAAAAACCACCTCATTAACGGGAACTCAGGTGTAGTTGAAAGGTGCTTGTTATGAACAACAAAGGCATCCCTTTCACCTTTATTGTTTCTTTATCACTTGGGAAATTCCAAGGGTTTTAGGAACTGTGTGCCACCAAATGTATGTTTCTTATTATAAATCACAATTCACAACAATACTAACATAAAGGGGTTATATCAAGAAATCTATAGTGTGGCAAGTCTTCTTAATTTTGCTTGAAGTGGTAAATATTAAGTTTGAGTCAATTATGAAAGTTTGGTATGTATATATTATAAACCCTAGAGTGACCACAC